CTAAATTATGGGAAATATTATAGCTTTGTTTCAATGTTAAAAAAATTTATTTTTTGATGAATCCTGTTTTATATATGTACATATGCTCATACACGTGTGCTCGGATGCACACACGTAGTACGTACGTATGTATGTACATACGTACGGACATACATACATAAATACATTATATACATATATATGGTGTTCGATAAATTTCGACAAACTGCTTTTGTGTAAATAAAACAGACTAAATTGAATAAAAAAAAGTCTTCTACCATTTTATAATTTTTAAGTACAATGTCTATATAAGCGATGCATACAACAATTTTAAGGTATCTTAGAGAGTTTTTCAAGAAACATGTTTAAGATTATAAACACCCTTCAAGGAAATCTTAATATTGTCTTACGTGTGCAATGTTAGAGTCATATTTAGCTATCTTCAAAAATTAATATCTTATTAATTGTTGCAAAAATTTTTAAATGATACAGGATTTTTTTATTTAGTTTAGTCCGCTCTATCTGTGCATGAAATGTTTTGCAGCTATTTGAGACACCGTATGCGTGTGCATGTGCGCGCGTATGTGTATACATACATATTTTTTTACATTTATTGCTATTTGTTAATATAGCCGGAGCATTATGTTTCTCATTTACTTGAACATGAAGGAAAAGGCTCATTATTATCGGCTTTGAATTCCAAGGGATGGTGTAACTCCCTAGTATCCGGAAAACGTCTTGAAGCCAGAGGCTTCAGTATTTTAATTATTAGTATTGATTTAACCGAAGAAGGTATTAAGCATATCGAAGATGTTGTTCTACGGGTATTTCAGTATATTAATATGCTTAAGTTGAAAGGACCAATCAAATGGATCTATGATGTAATTGACGAAATAAATTATAATTTTATGTAGACTGTTCAGAAAATTATGCTATCATAATTTACCAGACATTTTGTGCTTCAATATCGTATATTAAATATAAAATAACATGTATTTTGTACATTTGCAGGAATATAGAGATATTGCGAATATGAACTTTCGTTTTGAGGAGAAGTTTTCTCCTTGTAATTATGTGAAATTTACGGTTCAAGCGTTGCAACAATTTCCCGTGAACGAAATTTTGTGGGCGGAATATATTTATTCTGAATGGCGACCGGACTTGATTGAAGAAATAATGACATATTTAACACCGCAAAATGTTAGGATTCACGTGGTTGCAAAAGCATATGAAGATATAGCGGATGAAACTGAAAGGTGGTATGGTACTAAATATAAGAAAATGAAAATATCCAAGAAAACAATGGAAATGTGGAGCTCCGCTGCCTTTAACGATGACTTGAAATTGCCTCCCAAGAATAAATTTATAGCAACTACATTTGATATCAAGCCAGAAACTAATGTAATTAAAATTATCATTTTTTTATAATATTAATTCTTGATCACATTGTGATATTCAAAGCAAAATATCGATGGAGCGTGAACTATACCGTAAAGTTTGATATGAAATAGAATTTAATTAAATGTTAGAATAGCTTAAAAAAATTCTGTCTTCTTTATACATGTATATTTATACATGTATATAGTTTTTATGTAGTGATAGTAATTATGTGTAAAAAGTGTTTGTGAATGTATATTTCTGTATTATTATAACTTTACAAAAATATATGCTGAGGTTTAAAGATTGGTAAGTTTGCACAACAGAAAGCTAAGAGATTGTAATACAAATAAAAAAGTGCAATGCAATAATTTTGACTTTGACTTGTTTTTGCAAATGAAATTGTCTTTTGTCCTACTGTATTTGATCTTATGTATATGCATATGTTTGCATGTCATCGCATATATTAACAGGTATAAATTTTACAGATAGAAAAGTTTCCTATTATTTTGGAGGACACATCATTTGTTAGACTTTGGTATAAAAAAGATGATGAATTTCTTGTGCCTAGAGCAAAAATGATTTTTTGTTTTGTCAGGTATGTATTAAGTGATTGTATGAGATACAAAATATGGATCAGTAGATCAGGCTGTTGAGAGTCAAACGTGGTTCTTATTACGTAATTGTCTATTTATTCATAAAAATCTTAAATGTTTCGACTCACTTTGGAGTCATCTTCAGCATACATAATCTCTATACATCTTTGAAATTACGTAATAAGAACCACGTTTGACTCTCAATAGCCTGATCCACTGATCCATATTTTTTGTTTTTGGAAAATAAGAGAGTTCGTAAGAAGATTACACTTGTATTTGTATGAGATACGTTGCTGCTATAATTGATTAATGTAATATTGTGTAAAGCCCGATCTACAATTGCGTAAATGTAGTTGTAAAAATTGACCAATTACAGTTGAATACGAGCAGAACATTCAACTGTGATTGGAAGATTCTTACAACTACGATCACTTCCAACTACGTTTATGCAATTGTAGATCAGGCTTAATACCGAATGTAATATTGTGTAGTACCAAAATATTTTTAAATGAAATTTTGAAATATTCTGACAACTTAAACAATTTTAATTATTAATTAACATTATGATAAGATTAGATATTAATGTGCATAGAAAATAATATTAATAAGTTGGTTATTACTGAAATTACATATTTTAAAAAAATAAATTTAATTTTGCAATTATGATTCTTAAAATATTGTTATTTAAAGATGAGAATTAAATATAATCTTTTATAACAAAGAAATATTTTTCCGGGATTATATATAATGTTTGTTTTTTTTCTAATTTATAGCCCATTTACCTTTCTGGATCTCCTTAGTTACAATTTAACTCACATGTTTATTAATCTGTTTTGTGATTCTCTTACCGAATATACATATGCTGCTGATTTAGCTGGTTTACAATGGGAAATTTTTAATTCTGAATATGGAATAACAGTGAGTATACATCATATAATAAGTAATAAAATATAATGTATATTATTTAAATAAATTTGAATGTTTATTTGAATAAATTATTGTTCAATTTGTTATTATTAGTAACGTCTAAAACAAACATTATTTCACGCATATGGGTAATTCTTTTACAAACCGAACGGATTTTGATGAAAATTAATCGGCACCTCTTCGATTTGACTGAAACTTTTTTTACGGATCCTATGTCGAAAAAAAAGAGATACGTGTCCGAGGAATTTTGTTTTATTTGCATATTTTCGATAATGCAAGTGATCGAACATTTGAGAATGGCAAGTTTTTTGGCTTGGAGACTCATCTTCATAAATTCATAGGTCCGAATCTTTAAGAGCTACAAAATTTTCACCAATTGCACTTTTGTAGCTGAAGGACTGAACTGTAAGAAAAATTTTTTTTTAACAAAAAATAGTAACAAATTTATATTGTTATTAACAATTTAATTGTTTAAATCGATTTTTAACAAACGCCCCCAAAACGAATCAAGTTTTTAGTATTTTTATCGCATTCTCCGTCAAATTTTACGTCAAAAACATGTTTTTAAAATATGGTACCTTTTCAATTATTATTGTTAAAATATTAATTTATATAGCGCGGAACGGCCCAAAAAACGATTTTTTGCTAATAAAACGAAATCTGTAACTCGTATCAAAAAAAGTTAAATGTAAAAGTTGTAGATAATTGACAGATCTACAACTTTTATCGAAAATTTTTTTTGACATAACCTCAAAATTTTAAATTAAATTGCAAAAAATGTTAAATTAAATGTTAAATTAATGTGGTTATTCCAATAAAGTACATATTAAATATTAAGAAGTATTACTTTATTTTTTATTACGTGATTTTTTTAATGTACTAAAATATTTTTTTATCATCTATTATTATTTATCAAAGTCTTTCATGGCAGTGGTGGCTAATACAACCAACAGGGCGATATTACATGACGCACTGGATAGATTTTTTTTTTCAAAGCTTGATAATAATTTTTTTTTCAATCAAGATTGGTTTTCTAACATGTCAGGAGATTCGATTCGAAATTAATTACCCATAAACTTTTTTTTATGCAAATTGTCAAGAAATAATTGTTACAAAGCTGATTTTTAAAATTTTTTGCAATTTAATTTAAAATTTTGAGGTTATGTCAAAAAAAATTTTCGATAAAAGTTGTAGATCTGTCAATTATCTACAACTTTTACATTTAACTTTTTTTGATACGAGTTACAGATTTCGTTTTATTAGCAAAAAATCGTTTTTTGGGCCGTTCCGCGCTATATAAATTAATATTTTAACAATAATAATTGAAAAGGTACCATATTTTGAAAACATGTTTTTGACGTAAAATTTGACGGAGAATGCGATAAAAATACTAAAAACTTGATTCGTTTTGGGGGCGTTTGTTAAAAATCGATTTAAACAATTAAATTGTTAATAACAATATAAATTTGTTACTATTTTTTGTTAAAAAAAAATTTTTCTTACAGTTCAGTCCTTCAGCTACAAAAGTGCAATTGGTGAAAATTTTGTAGCTCTTAAAGATTCGGACCTATGAATTTATGAAAATGAGTCTCCAAGCCAAAAAACTTGCCATTCTCAAATGTTCGATCACTTGCATTATCGAAAATATGCAAATAAAACAAAATTCCTCGGACACGTATCTCTTTTTTTTCGACATAGAATCCGTAAAAAAAGTTTCAGTCAAATCGAAGAGGTGCCGATTAATTATCCGTTCGGTTTGTAAAAGAATTACCCATATACATAAAATATTGCTTATTCAGAAATTGTTTACTTCTTATTTTTAATTATTCGTCAGATGCTCAATTTTATTCCTATGTAATAATGTGTGTCAACTGTTTTATAAAAATACATTCGTAATTTAAAGAAAGATCAATTCTTTTTATAGCTCTTTATAAGTGGTTATGACAATAAACAACATGTGTTATTAGAAAAACTCATGGATCGAATGATAAATTTTAAGGTTGATCCAAAGAGATTTGAAATCCTAAAGGAAGAAGTATGTATAATAAATACAATCAATATTTTTAATTTTATTAAGCAGCATATTTATGTAGAATTACTATAGTTTATTAGGGACTTGAAAAACTTTGCTACTGAACAGCCTTATCAACAAGCTGTTGATTATCTTGCAACTCTATTAGTAGAGCAATCTTGTTTTGAGGAAGAATTACTAGAAGCTACTGCCTGTAAGCATAAAAGAGAACTTATATTTTTTGAAAACATTATTTTCTCTCTGTCTCTCTCTCTCTCACACACACACACACATACACACACACACACACACACACACACACACACGTTTCTTTTAGTTTTTAGGATAATTACAGCACATATTAATGACATATAATTTAATGATTAAACGAACTTACCTGTAAGTGAAGTTCTATCATAATTGTATGAAGCGCCTCTTCCGAAAGATAACACGTAGTACTCATCAACTCTATGCCGGGGCGCCACAAGCTTCAAAGTCAAACAGTCCCCCATCTACCATCACCGTTCAGGCGTCGTCATTCTATTCAAAGTCCAGCCGCAGCCAAGACCCAATTCACACTCTCGGGGTCCGACGATATCGGACATGGGCAAAGGGAGGGACCTTATCTTTCGGAAGAGGCGCTTCATACAATTATGATAGAACTTCATTTACAGGTAAGTTCGTTTAATCATTAAATTGTATTTTGCGTCTCTTCCTCAAGATAACACGTAGATGTTGAAAGATGGATGCGGCTACCCAAATATAAATAGAACTTTCGGGCCTTATATCGTATTTAATTGGAAAAAATAAATTTGCACAATCCTTTTTTACGATACAGTATAATACCCTTAATTTAAACCTCTAGAATAGCCTGTCCGAATGACCTTGAGTCTTGAATGATAGGCCTATCGTAAAATCTAGCGAACGTGGATGAATCTTTTGTCCAACCTGCCGATTTCCGAATAATATCCATGTAACGCCCTTCCTTTTAGCAGCGGATGTAGATGCATGCCTCGTGCTATGCGCTGAGAAAATCTCCGTTTTAATGCCACTTTTGTGTAACATGTCCTTTAGCCATCTGCTTAAGGTCTGAGCCGAACTCTTTTGAATGGCTTCTTGAATGAAATGAACAAGGCGTTCGCCTTGCCCCTAAGATCTTGGGTTCTCTTAAGATACAACTGAAGAGTCCTAGCTGGGCAAATATTCGGATCCTCCTTATAGAAGGGTAAGACTATTAATGGTTGCTTTGACCCTGGTCTAGAAGTCTTAACTCTATCCGGAATCTTAATTTCGATCAAATCCTCTTTAATGACAATGTTCCTAATATCTATTAATAATAAGGTTTGGATCCTTTGACCAGTTACTAAGGCTAGCAATGTAACTAACTTTTTACTGAGTCTATCTAAGAGTAAATCATCATTCGCCAAATCTTTAAAAAATTCTAAAACAATCTTTGGATCCCAAGTGGAGTCGTACTTCGGTTCTGATGGTCTCAACCTAGCTAAGCCTCTGAAGAACCTCTTGACACTTTCATCTCTCCCAATTTCCGGCCCTCAGATAAGGGAGATCGCTGATCGAATGCAATTAAGAGAGCCATATGACGCACCCTTTTCAAACTCTTCGGACAAAAATCTAATAATATCTGGCATCTCCGCTCCATACCAGGACAACTTGTTAGTCACACAAAAGGACCACCATTTTTTCAGGGAACAATCATATTGTTTAAGCGACGATTCGCTTATGGAAGCCATAGAGATCTTCATGGCTTCTTCTGGGATTCCCTTTGTTAGAAATGCTTCCCTGATAATTTCCCTACCATCAGGGTAAGTTTTCTCCACAGAGGGTGCGGCTCCCTGTCCAAAGAAAGTAAAATATTTTTGTTAGGTTTAAAAACTAACGGATCCGATTCCAGCATTGAGAGGAATAAGGGAAACCACGGCTGCGCCGGCCACAGTGGTACCACTACTATACCTTCCGCATCATCCGTTCTGATCTTTTGAAGAACTTTAGTGACTAATATAAAAGGTGGAAACGCATAAAAAAAGAACTCACTCCAATCCAAGGTAAAAGCGTCCGGAGCTATTGCGCCAGGATCTCTTATCCAGGAGACATAATCTCTACATTTTGCATTAACTCTAGATGCAAATAAGTCTATATCCGGATGACCCCATTTCTTCAGAATTTCACAAAAAGCTCTTTTTGATAGTTGGAACTCCGTTTCGCTTCTTAACCTCCTTGATTCAAAATCTGCCTCCGCATTATCTTTGGACGAAATATATGATGCGAAAATGAATAAACCACGTTCTTCGCATCATTTCCAGATGGACTTAGCCAGGCTACTGAGTTCTTTGAATCTCACACCACCCATGCGGTTTATGTACGAGATGGCCGCGGTGTTATCGATCCTTAAAAGGATATTACCATTTCTGAGTTCGGAAGCGAAACACTTGAGACCAAAAAAGGCTGCAAGAAGTTCCAAACGATTAATGTGAAGTAACTTATCCTTATTGTCCCAAAAACCATGTGTTCTATCGTCACCGCACGCTACCCCCCAACCGGAACGAGAGGCGTCAGAAAAAATAGTTAGTTTGTACTCGCGACTCGCGATACTCGAAACTCTATCCAAAATGTTCTGTTCCCACCATAACAGATCTTCCTGTAAGTTCTGATTCAAACGCATAACTGATTCATAGTTACCCTTGGCTTCTATTAAGGCTAAATATTTTTTCCTCTCGAAAATCTTAATGTGTGCCCAACCATATTAAATAGCCGGGCAGCAAGATACTAATAAACCTATTAGGCGTGCGAAGTCTTTAATTTTACATTTTCTTAACTTCTTGAACTTCCTTACTTGGCCCTGAATCCTTTCTCTCTTTTCCTTTAGTAACTCTAATGTCATTGAATGAGAGTTCAGAACAAATCCAAGAAATGTACACCTCTGTGACGGAATCTTGCAACTCTTCTGCTCATTAATTATAAAACCCAAGCTTTCTAATAACTCTACCGAAACCTTTATATTATCTAAGCATTCAGCCTGAGAATTACCAAAAAGTAATAAATCTTCCAGATAAATGACTGAAAGATATCCTAAATTACGTAAATAACAAACTACTGGTTTCATGAGCTTTGTGAAAACGTAAAGAGTCGTATTTAAGCCAAAGGGTAAGCAATTCAATTCATAAAAAACTCCTTTAACTGAAAATCTTAAAAATTTCCTGCAACTTTGCTCAACGGAGACCAAGTAGTAAGCATCTTTGAGATCCAGCTTACTCATGAAAACATTAGGACTAAGCAGATTGCACGCTGTCCTGATGTCTTCCATTTTAAAATGATCCGTCTCAATAAAATCATTTAACTCCTTAAGGATAAGAATTAACCTGACCTGCTCGATCAGTCTGGCTTGGGGATTAAGAAAATTCCGGACAAAAATTGGTCCTTACATGGATGGCAGCGACTAATAACCCCCTTTGAAAGTAATTTCGCAACATGCTCACGAATTTCCGCTTGCTCCTCTAGGGACCATGAAGGATTTTTAAGAACCTTTTCCTGCAAAACTGACCTCGAAAAAGGAATAGTGTAACCCTCAATCCAACTCAAGATTCTGGACTCGGAGGCTATAGTTTTCCACTTTTCTAAGAAAAACTTTAGCCTACCCGCTGGTCTATTTACCTCAGCTACGACTAAGTCTTCTTCTGTTGGCTGTTCTGGGCCGACGAACGTGATTGGGCGTTGTCGCGCGTTGTTGCGTTCTGATTGGCTACAATCTTCTTGCTGGACTGATTCTGATTGTAGAATCTGTTCCGATATCCGCCCGACGTCATCGTCTTGAAGGGTTGACGCCGAGGCGGGCCCTTGAAGTTTTTTGACTTCCCCGAGGTTTTCGGTTTCGCTTTTAAATCCTTGCTCGATTTTTCAATGGTCTTTGCCGTTTTAAGTCGGTCTCCTAATTTCTGACCAAAAAGCCATTCTCCTGCTGTCGCTGATTCTAACGTCTCCTTTTGAGAACTGCTAATTGAGGTGAGAATCAGACTCCTACGAGTCAAGGACTCGTCTCTCTGCAAGTCTGCCAACAATCGTGCCGCATCGCTAAGTTTCTTGACTAACGATATCTGGACAGGAGATAATTTCTAATCTTCGTTATCGCCCTTGCTATTCTGTATAACCTCGGTGATAGAGCTACCCAATAAGGCAAGGCAAGCCGTGATCTTCTTTTGCTTATCTATGATACGATTATTCCGCTTTACTGCTGTCTCGTCCAAGGAAACTTTGAGTTCTTCATTAAGTTTCGGCGGGTCGATCACCACGCAAATGTTTGGGGGTGTGTGATCTTTAATGAGCTTTTCTCTCTCCTTCTTGGGCAGCCCTTTCTTTAAAATATCCTCCAAACGAATCGCCACGCTTTTTGGAATGGCCGGGTCTAACACTCTCTCCTCTGCCACACGACTACCAATAGCTTCCAAAATTTCTACTTCCAAATCCTCTGTAACCGCTTTCTCATTAGATGTAGTAGTACCCACCTTCTGCGTGTTAGCAGAGGAATCTTTCTCCTCTGCTTTTGGCGGCAGTTGATCCTCTGTAGATGCGTGGACATCCGCCTGAACCAATACAGTGTGGCTAATCGGTTCAGGATCTCTTGGTACAATCAGAGAACTTATCTCGGAAGAGACTTCCGGTACCTCCGGAATGAAGTATTCCTCTGGCGAGAGAGAATGATTATAGCGATTCTCAGAACTCTGAGACAAATGATCTGCTTGTACGTCATCCAAACTTGATCGCTCTCTAAAGTCCGAGTTTCTAGATCTCGAATCATGGTTTCCTAATAATATGAAAACAGGAAAAAATTTATATATATATCCAATCATATATATACATTAAGGTATACACCTAAATATGAGAGCCTATGTATATGGTACATGTGAAAATGTTCGTAACATACGAACTTCTAACAATTGATAAGATCGTTTGCTAGAATATGTGCATTATGCACCTAAGGCCTTCTAATGTGATTCGTCTGAGACAATACTCGCCTACAGGTAAAAGCCTGTGGCCCGTCTATAGGTTAGAGCCTATGACGTGACGAAATTATGCCAGCTCAACGCTCGCCAACAAGTAAGAGCCTGTAGCCCGTCTATGACGGGACGGAATCCCACAAGCATAACGCTCGCCTACGGGTAAGAGCCCGTGGCTCGTCAATAGGTTAGCGCCTATGACGAAATCTCCCGAGCATAAAACTCATCCACCGGCGAGAGCCTGTGGCTTGTCCTATGACACGACAACGAGCACGCAACGCGTGCCTGCAATTATTTTGCCGACAATAAACTGCGTAAAAAACAACTTTACGTGGCGTAGATGCGGGAAGTTTTCACTAGAATCTTTGCTTAACCTAAAAACCTTACTTACTCAAATTTTTTCTCTTCCCACGGTCGTTGTATTTTTTAAATTCTTTCATCAACCGTCTCATCTTCCTTTCCAATCTATTTTCCTTAGAACTTCCCGAACTATCGCTTCTATATTTTCTTTTTCCCATCTTTATTTCTGGTAAGACGGAAAAATGATGTGGTTACCTCGGCACAAAGAAAAAGAATGACGACGCCTGGACGGTGATGGTAGATGGGGGACTGTTTGACTTTGAAGCTTGTGGCGCTCCGGCATAGAGTTGAGGAGTACTACGTGTTATCTTGAGGAAGAGGGGCAAAATACAATTAATATTTCTATGATATATAGATTTAAGTGTTGAAGGACTACAGAAGTTTATACCACAGCTATTCAGTAAGGTGCACGTGGAATGCTTAATATATGGTAACGTGACTAAAACAGAAGCTACATATATACGTAAATTAATTGAGTCTAAGTTAACAACTGGAGTGCCCAACATAATACCCTTGTTAGAAAAGCAACTGTTATTATTCCGTGAAATTAAACTAGAAGATGGTAAGGATCCTCCAGACTGAGGGGTTGGATATTAGACTAACAACCTAATTTCGAAAAAATCTATTATTACAGATACCTCATAAGAGGTAGACCTTGTCCCATCTTGGAATGTTGTGCCATTGAATGGAATAAAATATATATGTTTTTTTACAGGTTGCCACTTTCTGTTCAGAGCAGAAAATAATTCACATAAAAATTCTTGTACAATGGTATATTATCAAACTGGTTTACAATCAACGGAGTCGAATATGCTCTTAGAACTCTTAGCACAAATCATTGAGGAACCTTGCTTCAATACCTTAAGAACGAAGGAACAATTAGGCTACACAGTATTTAGTGAAATACGTAGAACAAGTGGAACACAAGGCTTGCTAATCATTGTACAAAGTGATAAACATCCACAATATGTCGAAAAACGAATTAATTTATTTTTAGACTACATGTTGGTGAGTATAATATTTTTCATGATAAAAAATATTATATATTTGTGTTGGAAACAGTCCATTTTTTGTTAATCGTTTGTATCGTATTTTTTAACACATATTCATGTATTAATTTAATATAATAGTTATGTTATTTAAAAATTTTGTATTAAATTGATATTTATTAGTGCCAAAATAACATAATTTATTAAGTGAACAAGTAAAATAATATGTTTTAAAATGTAAATTCTAAGATAAATGAATGAAATACGTAATTGAGAATATCATAAATATTAATTGTACTAAAAAAAATTCTTTTTACAAACTGTCAATATTACCCACCTTTTTCATGATTGTTTTTTCTATAGATAATATTTATGTTGTTTTCTAATATATTCATTTTATGTTAAATAAACACAAAAATTTAAGTAGACTGTTTGGGACAAGTAACATTTATTATATTCGACATAAATTTCCCAATAATGGCCCATATTTAGAAAAATTAGGGCGCTAATATACTATAGCTATAAATAGTTTACGTTATGGATACTATAGAATTTTAGAAATAAAAGCATGCTTTTATGGATGAAAACACGTTCTGAATACGACTTAATGTATAATAATATACAGGATGTCATGTAAATTTTTTTTCCATTCCTTTTGTGTAGACAGAGCGGGCTGAACTGTATCGAAAGATTCTCTACCACTTTGCAATTTTCGCAATGGTTAACAAGATATGAATTTTTAAATATAGTGGACTCAGTTTAGTCCGCTCTATCACAAAAGCGATGGAAAAAACTTACGTAACACCCTGTATAGTATGTGAATGCATGAACATAGAACTACATTTTCTTTACATATTTATTATATAATATCTTATAATACATTATAATTAAATATATTGCTCAATTTTTTGTGATAATACAAATATTTTTATTAAATTTTAAATTACTAATAATTCCAGAATCACATATCTACCTTAACAGAAGAGCAATTTGAAAAATACAAGAAAACTTTAGCTACATCACGTTTAGGAAACCCAAAAAGGTTAAGTGCAAGGTGTACCATATATTGGAATGAGATTATAAACCAACAATATAACTTCGATCGAGTCAATATCGAAGTGGCTTACTTAAAGACAATATCACTGCAGCAATTACTTAATTTCTTTAAGGTAATCTATTTACTCTTATACAGGGAGGGGCATTTAAAACAGGTCACCTGAATAACTCGCTTGTTTTTGACAATAGAAGAAAAAGTGTCAAAGAAAAGTTGCTTGGTTTCGAGGGGCACATAACGTGATGTCAATAATTGCTTTTTGGTGGAGGCGCTAAAGAGATATGAAGGTTACCTCCACTTTTTTAAATGGAATTATGTAATTTTTTTCAGATAACGTGATTCGTCTAATTATTTTGCATCTAAAAGTATTAAGGTAGAGATACCAAAAAACCAATAGTTTTCGAGATATTTTACACTTTATTTTTATACATATTGACACAAAATGTTAAATAACTCGTAAACTGTTGACTTTTTGATTATCGTACCTTAATACTTTTGTGAACAGAATAATGAGATAAATCAAATGGTGTAAAGAAAACACATAGTTGCTTTAAAAAAATATGTATACAAAATGGATAATTTTTTAAATACGCAACTATGTGTTTTCTTTACACCATTTGATTTATCTCATTATTCTGTTCATAAAAGTATTAAGGTACGATAATCAAAAAGTCAACAGTTTACGAGTTATTTAACATTTTGTGTCAATATGTATCAAAATAAAGTGTAAAATATCTCGAAAACTATTGGTTTTTTGGTATCTCTACCTTAATACTTTTATATGCAAAATAATTAGAGGAATCACCTTATCTAAAAAAAATTACATAATTCCATTTAAAAAAGTGGAGGTAACTTCATATCTTTTTAGCGCCTTCACTAAAAAAACAATTATTGACATCACATTATGTGCCTCTCGAAACCAAGCAACTTTTGTTTGACACTTTTTCTTCTATTGTCAAAAACAAGCGAGTTATTCAGGTGACCTGTTTTAAATGCCCCTCCCTGTATATAGAATATATCACTTAATGTTACTCTGAAAGGGAAATATTTTATCATAAAAAAGAAATAGAAAATATACGATAACTTTTTTTCATATAAGTTATAATTTTCAAAAAAACTTCGATAATTAAAAAATTAATATATTATTAATACATCTGTCATATAAAATATATCTTTTTTAGGAAAATGTACATAGTAAAACTCGACGTAAATTGTCAATACATGTGATCTCTACGGTAACATCAACGGAAAACAATTCACCTGATAACATAACTGATAAAACTGCCGATTTATCAATTGATAAAGAAGTTAAAAAAATCGATGATATTACATCATTTAAAAATAGTCAATCTTTATATCCTCGACTTGAACCGCTTGAAAAATATTTTCTCAGGAAAGGTGTACGCTCTTCTAAATTATAAAAAAAGTAGTGATGAAGTAATAGTGAATAAGATGAATAAATTTACTTTTCTGCTGAAATTTTATGCATAATCTGAGAAAATATTCATGCATTATTTTAGAGAAATTAATAAAATTAATGTACTTAAGGTAATTCTTTAGTAAAGTGTCGAAAATTTGGGGTGTTCCATCCAGACCCACCCAAAGGCACAATTATTTGCATAATTTAGATAAAGTATTAAAACTATTTTAATGAAATGGTATAAAACATATGATAATAAATCAAGAGCTGCATCTTCACTAAACGAAAACAAGGTGACATTACAGCATTTACTTTTCGAGGTTAAATTTGTATGCAAGTTTGTGCATGTAAATATTTTTCCAGAATTCTAGAATGACCGACCGTTGACCTATTACTTTTTTGTAACCATATTACAATCGTAATTTTGTAAACTGTTATAATATTGTTTTTTGGAAAAGTCTATAATCCAGACAGCAGACAATATTTATAATTTATTTACAAAATGTTTGTAAGATTTATGTTTAATATTTTGGTAATCTTAGATTGTATTCCTCATGAAAAATTGAGTAACAAATGTTAATAGCGAAATATTGAGATGTCAATAGTTTTTGAATGGTGAGCATTTGAAACTGTCAAATTACAGCATGTAATAATTGTTTATTTTGTGTTTTAGAAATAATAATTGTTTATTATTTAAAATGTGTATTTCTCTAAAATATATGCTTTTTAATGATATTTTATCATATTTGCAATTAAAGTTACTCTTCGGCAAAATTAAGGAGGTTTTCTCTTTACTTCGGCAAGAGAATGTAATATGTTAAGAATTACTTGAAATTTTGGACATAGCTTTATCTACAAAGTGTTTTTTAAATTTTTTCAGATTTTTTGATCAGCGCATTTTTCTGTAATAACAAAATTTTGTATTTTATATTATATGATCTCTCTTTCTCTTATAGAAGACTCGTATATATTATATGTATATATATGTATCTGTTTTCAACAAATATAAATATTTGCAATGTTAAGAATCGAATAAATTTATGTTTAACCCTCGGACAGCGGGACGTCGTGATACTCGCATGCACGACGGACGCAAAGTCAAAAGTGACCCCCAAGAGTAAAATTGATTCAAAATATTTGAGAAGCAGCTTTTTTACTAAAATATATAGTAAACTATTTCAAATATGTGTAGGAAGGGACATAAAAAGTTTTTATTATCTATTAGGTTCGTATTTATATATATATAGTAGGGTGGCCCAAAAAAAATTTTTACGCGGCCGCCCCCCAGAATTGTAAAAGATGCAAAAAAAAGAGACCCGTATTTTTTCTTTTTTTAATCGGCTAATATTTGATGGTGCCGCCGAGCCTCTGAAGTTTCCCATGTATTCTATATGGGAAAAAAACACATTTTCGTAGATTCGATAAAAAATTTTTGAAAATGTCTGGTTTTTTAATCTGCAAAGGATATTTCTCTTGAGAAATGTTCAAAATATGAGATTCTGGTAATTATTTATTAAAAAAAATTATGTTAACTATGTTTTACAGTGTGCCGCAGAGAACAAAACGCATGCAAAAATCGCACTTTTATGTTTAAAAGTATTTCTAGTAATTTTCTCGCTGAATCTCGCACATAGATTTTTATTTTTTTACCGACAAATTAATTGTTACTAATGATTTCTTGTATTTTATAATTGTTTAAACAAATTATTGTTGTTACATTTATTTATTCTTTCATAACTGAGCTATAAATTCGCAGTTTTTTTCTGAATTTATTTTAAACTTGTTACTCAGGAGTTTTCGAGATCGCTGATTTCGAATCCGATATCAGTTTTCCAAAATTCAATATGGCGGATCGAATATGGCGAAAGAATTTTTCAAAAACTGCTCAGATTCATTTGAAACTTGTTATGGGGAGGTTTTTCTGGGTCACTGATTACGAATCTGATGTCAGTTTCTAAAATTTTTTCAATAGCGGATCCAATACAGTGTGAATTTTATAAAATATTATATTTAGTTAAATATTAATGGAATAAAATATTTAAAAAAAAAGTTATTCATAATATGTTCCTGACTTTCTGAACGTTCATTTGAACGAAATTTTTTCTCATTTATCATAAATTACTCTTTTTAAAAAAAAAAACAAAGCAGATATTAATTCTCATCAATTAATTAATCTATTGTTCGATAGAAGGCAATATTCAAGAACAATATTAAATTTTATATACCTATGAGTTTTTAAAATTTTACTCGTTGACAGAATAACGTTTGCGTTAACGTATAGGAAACAATTTGGAAATTTTGTTAAAAAAAATGTTTTTACAAGTATATTTACTAGAGAACTATCTTAACTTAAGTTTATAGAGTGATATGTGTAATATTTCTAGAATTGTAGAATTGTAATAAATTAATTGCAATAATGAAATGTAACAAACGTTTATTATTCCTCAACGTATATTTTTAAATAATACTTAAACTAAACATAAAATTGATAGAAATACTTTTAAATATAAAAGTCCTTTTTCTGCAAGTATTTCATTTTTTGCGGTCCTGTAAAACATAGTTAACGTAATTTTTTTAATAAATATTTGTTAGGATCTCATATTTTCAACATTTCTTAAGAGAAATATTGTTTGCACATAAAAAAACAGACATTTCTAACGATTTTTTTTATCAAATCTACGAAAATGTGTTTTTTCCCCGTATAGAATACATGGGAAACTTCAGAGGCTCGGCGGCACCATTAAATATCAACCGATTAAAAAAAGAAAAAAAACGGGTCTCTTTTTTTTACATCTTTTTCAATTCTGGGGGGCGGCAGCATGAAAATTCTAAAAAATTTATTTTCCTATGTATTTTCGGGCCACCCTAATATATAGTCGTTTCTTAAGATATTATAATTACTAAAATATTTTTATGTTTATTATTTTGTATAAAAAAAGAGTTCTTTAGTTTGTTTTAATTTTGTTTACTAAAATATTGGTTTTCAAAAATTTTCTTACTCAAGTACTATTAACTTTACAAAAAAACAGTAAAAGACAAAAATTGTTTATTTTTTTCTCATAGAGCTCTAGAAATTTTTTCAGAATTTTTTATCAACTGTTTAGTACTGCATTTTCTTATTATATAACAACTATTTTTACCAGAATAAGAAAATACGGTACTAAAAAATTCTTGAAAACCAATATTTTAGTAATTATATCTTGTTAACTATTGCGAAAATTACAAAATGGTAAAGAACTTTTCGACTCAGTTTGGAGTCCGCTCTATCTTATTCACGAATATTGTAGATATCGGTAGAATTATCAAATACCCTTTTAAAATACACTTATTGTATATTTAAAACAAGTCATATTGTATGTAACATTTTTTTGTATGTACACGCGCACACTTTAGAGCGAACTAAATTGAATTGTCAAAAAGATTTCGATCATTTCACGATATTCGCAATCGAAATATTAATTTCTGAAACGTCTCACTACCGCGAGTCTCCAAACGTTATGACTTGACGGCGCACTCTGCAGCCTTCCGCGGCCTGCGCGCAGAGTATTTTGTAGGCGTTTAAGTGATGGCAGTGGTAGACCGGGCGAACGCGCGTATTCGGCAATCTTTAAAAGTTAATATCTCGTTAACTATTGCTTAAATCGCAAAATAGTACATGACTTTTCGACTCAGTATAGTCTGTTCTACCCATGCACGAAACATTGTGCGGTTATTTCCTAACACCCTGTATATTAAAGAGAAAAAATATTTAATTTAATTCAATTATAAAATTTTAATTACACTGTATTTCAATTACTCATCATTAAAATAATCAGCAATTGAATTAACTGAAAAATTTGAATTACATAATTCAATTACAACGTATCTGAATTACAATGAAATTGCAATACTGGAAATACAATGCAATTAAATTAGCACAATTCTGCTATTATTTTATTATTATTACTATAATATTATTATTATTAATAATATTCTAAAATTTTTATTTTAATAGTTGCAACTGTAGTAATACTGTATTGATGTATTTGCCTTCAACCAATTATCTCACACAGCAGTAGGTACGAGACGAATACGTACGGAGCGCGTATATACAGATATTTCTCGATCATACAAAATTTAAAAAATGCATTTTCGTATATTTATGCAACATGAATATATTATATATAGTTTTTAGCATAAAATGTTCTTTAAGTATTATCATTATAAAAATATAAGAAAAAGTATGAGATGGGGAATATACGATAAATAAAAAGTTTAAGAAACTTTCTTGGTAGCAAGCTACATCATTTTAAAAGAAAGTTCCTTAAGGGCCTTTTTCATTAACTTTGATTAACGCTAATCTATGGTTAATTCAATCATTATTCAATCGTATATATTTATCTACACATATACACATGTATATATAAAATAATTATATATATATATAAAATTATAATTTTTTAATTTTTAAGCAGCACATATATAGATGGTTTATTTATGTTTATAAATAAATAATAATAATATAAATAATATGCGAGAGAATATATAACAATAAAAATTTAATAAATTTTTTATATTTGAATTTTCTCTTTTTATTTTTTTGTTACAAAATTATATGTTCATTATGTACAAACTATAAACTAAGCAACTATAAACTAATGAGAGGAGTAGACTTTCAAAATACGTTTTGTTTAAACTTTATAATTTTCAGAAAACGAAAAAGAAAGGAGAAACCACACACCAATACTCAATTATAACAAAATCAATTAAATTTAAGTTTCGTATTAAACTATATGGAACAAAAAACATTCTGAGAAATTTCTAATTTACACATTTAAAAAACAGAACAAAAGCGCCATCTAATAGTAAGAAATGATTTGTAAAGTGCGCAAATTTTGAATGTACTCGAATATAAACCTTAGATATAATATTTATTCAAAATAATAAAAATTATAACAATTATTTGAAATAAATTATAAGGAGAATTACGAGCAAAGTTTAAAATTCCAGATTCCCAGACAT